CATCATCTGCACAGTTTAAACCCACGCTGGGAGGTTGGGCTACGCGGTGGGGCTGCTTAATAGCTCAAATCCCGCTAATGAGTACGCCGTGTCAACATCGCATCGGTTCACGGGCTGTCGTACTGGTGCATGCAGCAGCAGCAGCCCCTCTGGATTCGTCCCCGCTCAGCTGGCGGATGTAGATTATCTCGTGTCTCGTGTTTCTCGCCTTCAACACAGAGGCCACCGCTGCTAAAGAGTGTAGCGTTGAGCAGCATCAAGGCATGCTTTTGGATGCCCCCGCGGTCCCAGCGAGCCATGGGGCCATTGATTGGTTTGGCTCTGAAGACAAGATAACCTCATTAACCCGGAGTTTTATGCCTTCGAGCTCATTCAGCTGAATGCAGTTTGTTTATGATGTGATCCGCATATTTACGGTGCTTACTTTGCATGGTGTGTGACTGATTCTTGCCTGAAATATGCTGACCCTTGACCCGAGAATCATATAACAGTACAACTACTGTCTGTAGGCTTTCACGATTGTGCTATATGGCTCTCCGATGTGTTTTCAGATTATACCGGCTGTTGAACACCATGATGTTGAGCTTTTTCTCTGCGTTGCTGGAAGCTTCTTAAGGAACTGAATTGGTTCAGTTACAGAAAAAACTCCCAGCATGCACAGCGAAATCTCAGATATCATGCCAAACAACATGCACTATAACCCGAAAACCTATCAGAGAGCCATTCAAGAGTAAGTTTTAGTGATAAAAAAAATCGAGACACCAGCTTAGTGAACAAGCAGGAAGAAAAAAAACTGTACCTAAATGTAAAGTAGCGTTAATTGTTAATATATATAACATAATAATTTTCCGAGTGAAATCCAGATTCTGAAAGTCAGAAATCGGTAATGCCGGTAGCTTCGTTCAAACCCCATGGCACATGCAACTCTGATTGGTCAGCGGAAGCCATATTGAGGCACCAACGGCAAAGCTAAGTCACTGCATGGTACAACACATTCCTGCGGAGGGAGCTGGTAAGAACGTTGGGTTGCTCGGTCAATGGCCAGGGTCAACGGCGGCGTGGTGTATTCCGCAATTATGCCCGACGGTGAGGGCGGGTTCACCCAGCACCACCCCTCCCACCCCCCACCCAGCCCCACCCTCCCTACCCAGCCCCTCCCCACCCTCCCCTCTCCACCCAGCCCCACCCCTCCCATTTTTGGATGCACGACGGATGGACACAATAATCCCCTGTGGGCTGGTGGAACCAGGTGGTTTAGCAGTTAAAAGGTAAAGGTGCAACCTTGTTATTGTTAGCTCAGACCACTGCTGTTGGGCTTCCTGTCGAGGGAGCTCTAGAGGGGATTTGAACTCTTTCACACTGGCTAGAGGTGAGAGAACCCACACACTGAATTTAATCAAATTGGTAATCGCTGCAAGTAACAGACCTCGTATTATTACGTTATAATACTACCACCACCTACCCATTTAGACTCATTCATGTCTTCTACATAGGTGAGTTCAGAACATAATCCTGTGACATATTATTTGTGGCTGCATTAACGTTGCGCTGAAGTCCAGCCACAGTTGTCCCCAAGATCATTTGGCAAACAACTGATGAAATATGCAGGTGTGTGTGTAAGGGAATGCTTTGGATATGTTTTCGACAAAAATCTATGCTGTTAAACTTTAATTATCCAACTTTTGTGTTACATTTCCGTAAATGAAGTATGACCCTTCCTGTATCCTCCAAGAAGATTATTGCTGTGAAAATGAACGTAGTTATGGGTGGTGCGGGGGGGGGGTGTCCCAGATAAAACAAACAAATAACGCAAAACATGTGTAAATTAGACCAGAAAAATGTGTACCGTTTCTAACTATGCAGAATGGGGGTGATTGCTAAATATTTCGTCTGTTTTTTGTTGCTTATGTAAGCGGGTCCTTTTTTGCCGAAACGTTTGCCAAGTCACAAAGAAGTACATGGGGTCATTACCTCTCAAGGAAGCCAGCGTGCCTCTGTATTTGTGTGTGCTATGAAGAAGAGCCATGCCCCCCAAGCGTTGCTTGTTATGTTTTTGTTTATCTTTTAAGGCTGAGGTGGGTTTTTTTTCAGTTTTCAGTTTCATTAATTAGGTATAGCCCTGTGAGCCATTCGGCTCTTGACTCGGGTGCAACCGCAACAAACAAAACCTGAACAAGAAACATCTTAAAGTGACTACGTACAACAGAAACATCCAGGAAAAACCAGCAAAATCTTCCAGAAAAAGCACCGTATATCTACGCTGTGTGCAAAAATCCCAGTGGGATGCAAGTCAAGCAATAACAACCATAAGACAATTTAGATTAAAGTTATCAGTCTACCTCTGTACTACAACAAACAAATATGGCTGAACCAAAACGTTTTCGAAATCACCAAAATAAAGCTATAAAAACAATGTAACAGTGATCATAGGAACTGTGATTCAAATTTAACAATAAAACAATATACATAACATGTACGACCAAACTTTGCAGCCATAGCTGGCAGCATGAGTCACTCCATAACAGCAGGAGTATCAGTAGGAGTATCAAAATTTTAAAAATCATAGAGACCTATAGACCCATACTCAGAGGCCGATAGAGACTTACTCATAGAGACTTACAGGGACCCATACTCATTAAGACCCATACTCAGAGACCCACACTCATAGATACCCACAGAAACCCAGATCCATACTTATAGACTCAGAGACACCCACAGAGACCCATACTCATAGAGACTCAGTTATAGAGACCCACAGAGAGCCATACTCAGATACCCACAGAGAGCCATAGACCCACACTCAGAGACCCTTACTCATAGAGACACACAGAGACCGATACTCAAAGATACCCAGTCAAAGAAACCCACAGAGGACCCATACTCATAGATATCCACAGAGACCCATACTCAGAGACCCATACTCACTCACAGACACCAACAAAGACCAATACTTAGAGACCCACAGGCACCAACAGAGACCCACAGGTTACACCACTTCCTCCCTATGGTCTGCCTGGGGGAGAGCTTTTGCCTTTGTGAGAATGGAAACCACCTACACCACCTCCACCACCTCCACCCGCACCAGCGCCACCAGCACCACCACCATCACCACCAGCACCACCACCATCACCACTAGCACCACTAGCACCACCAGCACCACCATCACCACTATCACCACCAACACCACCAGCACCACCATCACCACCAGCACCACCATCACCACTATCACCACTATCACCGCTATCACCGCCACCAACACCACCAGCACCACCAGCACCACCAGCACCACCAGCACCACCAGCACCACTAGCACCACCAGCACCACTACCACCACCGCCAGCACTACCAGCACCACTACCACCAACACCGCCATCAGCACCACCACCACTCACATCTTCTTCTGTTGATTAATGTGTTGAGCTGGTTTTAATAACCCAGAGTTAATTGTTCGTGAATTCAGCTGTTCCTGTTGTGTTGCCTAACTTAAAAAAATCTGGCATGGTTTCACACTTCCAGATGTTGCTGTGTGAAAGAAAATAGGTCTTAAATATGTAAAAATGTTATCAACTCGAGATTAATTTGTTAATAGAAATTGCACAACTGCATTTTTTGTGAGTTTTTTTTATATTAAACAGGACATTTAGAAACGTATGGAATACATTACCCGAAAGTTGCATTTAATTTGTGTTTATATAGCTCGTGATTTTTGGCAGTGTCACTTGCTCTCTGGTTCCAAATATTTCTGCACTTGAGTGAATGCTGCTGGCATGTAACAATTCATCTGCCCAGTTCTCTGCAATTCAATTATTCTCCAACAATTTGGGATGATTCGGTTTCATAATGAACATTTTTTCATCCAATTTTTACTCTCTTCATTGTATTCTCCGTCTCCTGTGTTCTGTCTTGGTGCTGTTATCTTAACTGTAAATAAATAATACATTCGGTGCATTTAGTTAATGCAGAAGAATCATGGAACCATATGCGTCTGATTTGAGCAAGGAATTGTTACGTTAAGTAGGTGTGTAACAATGAATCCTTTCGTCGATTAAACTCGTCAAACTCATGATTCACGCATCTAAGCGTACACTTCAGCATCGATTATTTCTGACATTTGCATCTATTGTAGGTTAAGGTTCACTGGATCCTTGCAGCCACTACAATGTTAAAACAATTTGATTTTGGCAGTCAAATCGCGGGTACATCCGCGAGCAGCAGTGCCGGCTGAGCTGACGACTGCACTTGCAGCACCCCCAAGTGGCTGGACGTGAGCATGACTGTGACCAAGGAATTAAAGACAGACTCGACAAACGGCGCCAGCTTGCGCTGCTCACGCGTGGAGCTCGCCCACTCCATAAAGCATCGCAAATTGGCAGTTTGGTAGTCAGAAGCATCCTTGTAGTGCTGCCCTCATCCCTCGTAAACGATGTTGCTGCGCAAGTATCTGGCTCGGACTCCACTTTTGAGTGCGGAGCGTACGGTGCGAAGATCTTTCGCACCGTACGTAGCCGACCGTGATAATCGGAAGTGTGGGGGAAGGACATCAATAACTAAACACTAAAAGTAGTTCGGAAGAGTTGATTTAACGTATGTATGCATATTCTTGGTTCTTTCGGTAAAGTCACGTAGAAGGGAAATCATAATATACTTTCCTTCTACGTGACTTTACCGAAAGAAGCAAGAATATGAATCCCTGCAGTAATGAAAGCTTTAAATCGAAAAGTATGTAGGCATATAAAACTTCTTTGGCACGCCTTGTTGTATTTGGGATGTTTCACGCCTTGGTGTATTTATTGAATGTCGATTGGCCAAAACGTCAAGGTCTCCGTGTAAAAAGTAACCTGTTATTATCTAAATAGTCTGTTACTTTGTGTATACGTTGACTGAAACGGCAACCTTGATGCATGTTGTTTGATGTTGATATCCCTGATGCATGACGCTGATATCCCGGCTGCCTGACGCTGATGTCTTTGCTGCCTGACGCTGATGTCTCTGTGTTGCAGGATGGCTGGAGTCAACAGCACTTCTTGGTCCTCAGCACCATGGAGAGGGAACGGAATAAACCGCGCGCCGTCTCGCAGCCAGCATCTCCCACGCGTGCCACCGCCGCCATCCGCAGCCAGTCGGGTAGGACACACACACCCACACACACTCACAACTACGCGTGCACACGCGCACACGCGCACACGCGCACACGCGCACACGTTCTAAGGCAAAGAAACCTTGTAAAGCCAGAACAGACTCGTGGGGCAAACAACCTATACACCTTAGATGCACACTTATAGGTACATCTACATAGATGTAGACACACGTAAAAATTTAATTGATTGCTCATGATTGATGCAATTGAATGTAGTAGCTCTAGTGCCTGCAGGAGTCAAGTGAACCTTTGACATACAGCATACATGAAGCGAAAAATTGTCAATTCTCACACGCACGAGTCGCCGCATGTACCTGGCACGTTATATAAAATTTTCACGTGTTACTCATTGCTTGCCTAGTGTGGCACTGTCAGTCATAAAGAAAATTGAAAACAAAACTTGTTCCAACACACGCACACTTGTACCATGTGCATGTTGCATATGACCACGTCTGCATTTTGTGCCGTGCACATGTGCCACAACAGCACGGCAAACAGATGCGGCCACATACGAGACTGTTGATGTCTGGGGATGTTGTCTTTTCCCGACTTGCTGGCATGCGTTTTTCTCATGTATATGCGTTGTGGCCTCTCGCGTGCAGTGGGCAGTGCCCTCTCCACGGCACGGGACACCTCTAGCTTCCGCGAGTCGCGGCGCTCCGAGTACGAGGCGGTCCGCTCATCCCCCAGTCACCGTAGTAACCGCCCGGAGCTGCCAGTGAGGAGAGACTCGAGCAGGGGTGAGTCGGTGGATTACTTGCGGCAAAAGGCCTGTACTGCAGGCCTTCAGCTCTCAGTTTAATTAAAATACATGATTACTCCTCCGCGATAAGGTTGCAATGGAACTAACAAATTAAGGCGTTATTTGAAGGGAGAGTTCTCGATGGCTTGTGAACGTGTCACAAATCTATAGGGGAGCTCATTCATTAAGTGCTACGTTTGTAACCGACACAAATTGTGTATTGTTCTGGAGGCGGAGGCGGGGGCGGGGGCGAAGCCTTCGCAAAGCACATTGGAACTGTGCATAACTCCGCATGAAACAGTAGAGAGGGACGGGACGACAGGCCCTCTTTAGCTAAGGGTTACCCCGTGCTACACCTGTCGGGTGGTACAGCTGCATTGGGTGTATCCCGCGCAGACGTCTACGTCGGTTCGTACGAGTTCCGTGATGCGCTGTAACGCATCACGGAATTAAATAAAAACAGTGAGAGGAACATTGCCGAGTCCCACTTTGGTGTTCCAGGAGAAAAATCACGCCCTATGCCGAGTTTAAGCACTGACAATAAAACGGCCGCTGGGTCAACTTTAACACGGGCATCGCATCAACTCCAACACGTTAACCACTGCTGCCCACCGCGTTACTAATTTTTCTCCATACCCATCAGTAACCCATGTGCTGGTTGTTGTGCGAGTGTTTTTGGTTGTTGCTTTGTGCGCGGCCGTTGGTTTTGTGTGGAGTGCCAGGAATTGTTTTGTGTTTTAACAAAGTTTGTTTGGGACACCCATCGCGTAATCCTCCTTGTCTCGCACAGGACTCCCCCCCCAGCCTTGCGCCGGCACTTACAGAAGTTCTTATGCCTCCCAAAATGTGGAGGATCAATCCCACACTCAGGTACCGGCTTCCATTGCCTCTTCTGCTCTAACATCATTGGCAGGCATCGTAGTCTTGTGGTTGGCCCCTGGCTGAGGATTGGTGATATATAGGGTTGCAAATAAATATGGCCCTTGGGTTTTTTTTGTTCTTATTCACTGAATTATAAGTGTATAGACTCAACCAATGGTTACCTATGTTTAGGAGATAGATGTTCAGGTCAAATGGTTTTTACTGTCTCTGGAAAAGTCGCCCAGACTTTGGAGTGTGGTATAGCGCACAATAATCTTTGTAACCTTAGACTCGCATATGATAGGCTAAAGGGGCAATTATACATCGAAAAGACACCAATGAAACAAGTATTTACTTTTTTTTTACCAAGCAAGACATTTTTTTATCTTATTGTATCTGTTTATAAGGGACACATTGTTATTCCTTACACTGAAATGCTGACCAAAATAGACAAATTTGAACCAACCATTAAAAGTAATAAGAATATTATAGTAACGAAAGCAGCAAAATATAAGGGGGAAATGTCAACAAACATGGCATTATATGTCTTTCTTTTTTAAACCGAACACATTTGGGAAAAAGACGTATGGATTCTAAAAGGATTAATAATTACAACACTATGATGCCTGATCATTACTTTCACTCTAACACTGTTGTGCACTTCACTAATTAACAACGGACCAATTAGCATTCGTATTCTTTGGCCGACGATGTGTCCTATCCTAGTTTTTCGCCATTTAAAGCGGCATCGTATTTAACTTGCCGTTTTTAACTCCACGTGTCTCCACCGCGTCACCACCACCGCGGTTTGCACAGACAACGATGAGAGCGACGCTGGCGGAGAGACAGCGGCGGGGCGACCCGTCACGCCGTGACTACGAGGCGGTGTACTGGACGGCGCGCCCGGCGCTGCCCGGCGCCAACGATTCGTTCTTCGACGAGCGGCTGCACTTCGCCGGCGACGCGTGCGGGACCCACGCGCGCCATCCCCCGCCCGGCACCTCGGCCAACTACGTGGAATTCTACAGCACGCGGCGCGCGGTGGCGCACGCCGCCACCGCCCCCGCCGCCGCCGCAGCAACCACCGGCGCAGTCGCGACCGCCGCCGCGGCCACCGGGAGAGGCAACTACGACTCGCTGCACTACCGCGATGCCACGGACTCCTGGGTGTGAGCGCCGGTCCGGTCCCGCGCGGAGTTGCCGAGCCGCTGCCTGAGCGTGTGCGTGTGCTTCAAGCGAGAGGAAAATAAATATTTTTTTTTTCACAGGTGTGGTGTTTGCTAGTTGATACGATGGCCAACATTTGCTGATTGCCAATGTGTTGGTTTGATATGTAGAGTTTATTTTTTTTCTTTCATCTTTGGATTGATTTTTTTCTTCTCAAGAGTATTGTGTTTGCTAGTTCACATAATTTGCAGACGTTTAAAGGCTGATTCATGTCCACCTCCGCAGCCATTGACTTTATGGTTATTATGCTCGGAGGAAACATTTTTATTTTGTTTTATGATGTTGAAGAAAATAATTTTACTAGACGAGGGGGGGAAGGGGGGTTGTGGAGAAAGCATTTTATCTACATAATATTCTGCATTGCTGTGTGATGATACAGCTCTGCGCAATGTGCGTGTACAAGGGGCAGTTCTAACGATCTGTTTGTACTGTGTTAAGTTTGGGTCTAAAGACAGCGGACACATTACATTGGACCACTGTTGTTGTCTTTAAACATAAACTGAAGATTCTGCTTTAAAGAAGGCAGGTAAAGGTTGTGTTTTTTTAAGTGAACAAATGAATCAGATTAATTTAATATTGACAGATTAATGGGGTCAGATTATAGATGTGCAAACACAGGGGTAGGTTATAAGGCCCCTTTTAGGACGTGTGTGTGCATTCGTGCTTTTTCATACAGGTGCATACGTGTGTTGATACCAATACGTAAATCTGTCAATGGGCGTGTGCACATGCGTTAACCTGAACTCTGATGTAAAATATTTTTTGTGCCAGAGTGGCTTTAAACTCTTAATATTATTACAACTGTCATTGGCATCATTTTGCTTTTAATCTTTACCTTGGAATTTAGTTGCCATAAACTGTGGCAATTTATCTTCTGTACTGCCACTACCTTCAGCCTCTTGTGAATATGGTATTTTAATTTCAGTCAGATTTTTTGCAATATTTCTTTCACTGTCACCAAACACACATATTAGTGAATTAAATTGTATTTGCTAAAATGAATTATGTTGATGCACAGATCAATGAAGGTTATGGGTGACGTGACAAAGAGAAGACATTTTATTTTAAGTTAAAGCAACCCCCCTCCCAACCCTCTTTTTTATTAAACATTCCACGCTGTGTGGAGCATTTGATTTGGAGCGTACCATGATGGCAAACGTGGGAAATATGGGCGGAAAACAAAAGGACATATATTGGTGCATGATTAATAAATTGAATGGGTTATGAAACCCATTTCGTTATCTGTCCCATGGCAAATGAAATGTGACGTTTAAGTATAAAACATTATCACTGACTTTCAGCGGTGGCTCATGGCTCTAATATGTTGATAGCAACGACCTTGGCCTCTGCTTTTTCAGTCTCAGGTGACGCGTTCGTGTGGATTAATTGACGATTGGAACACAGTGGCTGTGGTGATTTCCTCAGCACGTACAGTCTTGTGCAGCTTCCCAGAAAACTGGTCGACCGTTGGGTGACAATGGTGCATTATGCAAGTTGCCTTCGCATTTCAACGATTAAATATGCCTGTACGCGTCAAACCAGATTGCAAAATCCAGTCGCTTCCTGAAAGTGGAGCCGTGAGCTGCCAACTGTTGACTAGAAGTAACGCAAAAATGCCAAGCCTACTGATTTTTAAGGGGCAAGTTCCCGATTTTAAAACCCTTGTGCCGCATTTTCAAAGCAAGGATTGCATCACAACTGAAACAAGAAAACGTAATTCATAATGCGGTATATTTAGCCTTGAAAATGTGTGCAGTTAACGGGTTTAAACATTACAATCCTACCACTTAATCGATTGGATTGGCGAGTATGTAGTAATATTGTAATTTTGTTAAAGTGAGAGGCTGTGATTTAAAAACGTGCGTTATCACCATGTAATATGGACCCCAATCTGTATTATGTTTTCAAATGAGTCGTGTGTGAACGCATTTTTATTTTAGTTCAAATTTTAGCCATTTAATGGCCATTTTAGTTTGTCTCTGTGGTCGAGATAAATCAGGTTTCATGATTGTATTGTATTTACAGATGTAACTTTACATTTCTTGCATTCCAAATATCGGGGAAGATTTCGGCACAGGAGCTTGGGCGTGTCTTTTTTTCTTACCTAAACAGGGTCTTCTACTCGCAATACATTGCAGTCACTAAATGTAAAAATGAATGCTTAATTTCATTCTTACTCATTTAAATTGAGTTGACTCGAAATATTTTTTTATTTATATCACAATATTTTCATAATTGCCACGATTTTGACAAATAATTCGGATACTAAAATAACGCATGTCATATAGATCTCAAAACAAAATATTCCCACCTAAAATAGCTACTGAGTACTGACCAGGCAGATTGTATCTGATTTCCCATTCAACACCCCGCTCTGTATATGAAATGAATCCTTCAAATACCCCACACAGTCTGTGGTGGACTGTACCATTTTTGTATGTAAAGGTGCAGTTTCGGCCTAACAAGTCCCCACATAGTTGTACTCTGTTTGGTGACTGAAGTTGATTGACAGGTCTCTGTGCTCTGCCAGTTCCCTCTTACATTCTTTCTTATTGCCGACAGGAACTCCACGATCTTCAGGAGACATGTAGCCAATCACGGGCAAGCATTGTTGTCACATGGCAATTTATAAACCAGTCGATTGCATTATGGTTGAAATCATACGCTAGGCATCGTCATCTTTCTGCTGCAGGAATTTAAGTGGTTTTGAAATGCTTAGCACGTTGCTGTCAGGTGGTTCGCTATGTACAGATTCACGGGTCTCCTGCTATTGCCGCAGACAAAAAATATATTTTCTCTGCTTGGGTCATGTTTAAGATGGTGGCCTTCATAGATATAATTAACCTTTGTTTTTTTTACGGTATATTTAGGTCTAATTTAATTTGAGGTCTTCATAGTGGGGTTAGTGGAATTTTGCTAATTTTGTCCATCAGACAAGGAACGGCAGAATATGCAGAATATTGTAGGAGTTCAAACGAAACATTGGGATCTTACTGGCTAGATTTACATATAACAAAATCGCCCTAAATACACCCAGGCTCCTTGATTATTGTAAGCTAAGTAGGGTTTGAGCCTTGTTAGTAATTATTTGGGTGACCACAAAGGCTTGCCGTGCATTGCAGATATTGGACTGCAAGGTGTGGCCGGGAAATGTTGGTGCTGAATGTCACCCCCTCGTATGCATGGTGGATCTTCGGGTACCCTGGCTTATTCCCACACAAAGCCAAAAACACTCTTTAATAGAATTGGAAAAATATCTCAATTCAGCAGGACGCTGGTGAAAAAGTCTTGAGGCTAAGTGAGTTTTGCCTCGGTAAATAAGTTTCATTACCACAATACCTTGATATGAACCACAATACCTTGTCCTCAGAGAGCATCAACCATCACGAAAACTCCAGTTATCCTCGTAGCGGCTTTTGGCTAACCATCGAACAAAGAGTGCTTTCAGATGCTCTTTTGCAGCCGTCTGGAACGCTCTTCCGATAGTAGGAAGCCACTAAGCTATGCACTTTTAAATCTAGATTTAAAACTCATTTCTTTACCACTGTTTTTATGTTTAGTTTGTTGTCCTTCCCTTGCACCGATTAACACGGTTGGGCTACGTACGTTGCGAAAGAAGTTCAACATACATACATTACTGTAGTAGTATTATACATTCATGTTGGAAATGGCAAATTCAGACAATGACGTGGAATTGTACCGATTGGCCCTGTGCTTTGGTCTCCATGGCCCACTGTGCAGTTTTCTCTTTCATGTTGGATCAGCGGTATTTTTGGATTGTGGCTGGCGGATGGTGCAGAAAGGTTTTGGTACGTTTGCTACTCTAGTGCGTAGCATGGTGTGTTTGCTGTACTTGAGGGTTATGGGACTGTGAAAACCCAGCTTTTCGTGGCTGGTAGCAAATTGGGTAGAGAGAGGGCTTGGCTCTGTGAGTTTTCTTAGCCAAGGAAGTGAAAGTCAATTTGGCGTTAATCCCCTATCATTGATACAAACATTCACAGGTTTTAAACTGAAGTTTCCTGCATTCTCGTGCGTTGTGACCCAAGAACAAAAATCAATACCCCACACTGTAGCTTGGGAAACATGTAATTATTCATCAACTAGTATATTCACATGTTTTTCAAATACATTTGCATCAGTTAATGTTCATTGAGTGACTGCAACCGTGGTAATGTTTACATGTATACGCAACTTAATTATAGAAAGGAAAATTAATTACTGTATTGTACTATTGCAATTGAAATTGCCTCAAACATTTACAAAGTAACTAACACAACTCACCAAAGCCTATCCGATGCATGATACACTCAAGTTTGTAAGTCCTTGTACCGTAATTTTTGCTCTGTATTTAAGGAACATATTAAGTCTTGGTAACGCATGCATGTGATAAAACGACATGCTGTTGGAAAGTATAGTACAGTACGGAGTGTCGAGTGACACTCATAGATGGAGTAAGAACATTTAACACACTAACTTTTTAAAGCGTTTAATGTACAAGACAATGATGACTCGGTACCCAAGTCTCTGTGCCGTCAGTGATCACAATTAAATGTTTGGATAGTTGCTGGCATTAACAGAAATGGTCAAGTCCCACAAAGGCCTTGGCCTGCCTTGGCTGTGAAAGGTTAATGAGCCTTGTGGGATTTTATAAGTGAAAGGGGTTTAACGTGGGTTGGTGGTGGAGGATGGGAATTCGTCTTTTGGCGGATAGGGACGCTGGGATGCTTGGAATGTGCTTGTGAAGGACAGATGGCATGTGATGTAAATGGTTTGCGGTTTGAGAAGCAATTGGTTTCACGGTGTAATTTTATTATGAAATTTACCTTTACACGTGATTATGTAGGAGCCACTTCTAATTATTTGAGATATACACCGTGCGTATGAGTGCGCGAGTGTGCGTGCGCGCGTTGTACATTTGCTGTTTTGGCGTGAGGGGTGCTGTACAAACTGCAGATAAGTGGCACGACATGCAACTGGTTTAACTTTATTATTTAGCATTGCTGGTTCATATATGGGTTGTATGCGATTTCACTATTGGCTGCCTTCTGTACCTTTGACTTTTTTATACATATAATGAGACTCTGTCTCGAGCCCGGAATATCAGGACAAGCAAAATAAACCGTGGTCCTGCAGCCTTGGAGCAGACACAACGATTTCACACGATGTAATAAAACTATGGCACAGTTTATCAGCAGCAAAACGTGTATCGATCAATGGTTATGTACAGGATTCTCGTGAAGGTTTGTTTAGTCTGCATTTTGAAGGATAACACAATGTTTGCGTTGCATTTGGTGGCCAGGTTGGGTGGAATTTGAAATAATGAAAGGTAGGGACATGTTTTTTTATGACAGTACCCTTAACGATTGAAGTATTCATCATTATTGCCTCTACCTGTGCGGCCTTACACCTGTGCGCCCTACATATGTATGCTCTACACTTGTGTGACCCTCCACATGTGCGTCAGTCACACTTGTATGGTTCTTTACCTGTATGGCCCTGCACCTGTATGACACCTCACCTGTACCCCCATACATCTTTACAGCGATGCAGCATTCATTAAGGTATCAATATGTAAATATTAGTGGAGTGTAACACTTTTGAAGGTTGTTTTTATTGCCATCATTAAACCCATTGTTTAACTTAAAACCATCTTTTTATTGTCCGAGAGAGAACTACTTGGCATATATCATGAATTCAAAGCAGGGGCAATACATGATGGGGATAGTTTTCTAAAGTGAATCTTAGAGCCCACTGTGATAGGACTAAAACAAGATTGAATGATTATGCAGAAATTAATTTTTCAAATGTTTGAGTAAATACTTTAATTTTGCGGTTGTCATGTTTTATTTTTTACTTTTTTTTAATTGTGTCATTTTTGAAAATGGCTTAGAGTGGGTCTGTTTGATTACTATTGTTTGAGGCCATGGTGCACTTGTGATAACTAATTGACAGCTATGATGTGACGGCTATGCATAAAAAGTGTCAGGTATGCATCGGCTTTGGCAGGATTGTAATCATTGGTGTTGGGATAGAAAGTGCTCTCTGCTCCTCATGGATCACAGGATGATCCATGTATAGATACCACACTAAAATGAATGGCAAACATGACAGAGAAAACAACATTTAAAATTTAAAGCCTCTACGGCTCCCACCAATCTCAATACACTAATGAAGCCTTGTAACATTCGTTTGTCCGTCGTAGGCATCACATTATTCAATCACCTTGTTTGGAAGAAAGTAAGGGGATAATTTGAAATCAGTGGAGTGCCTAAATGGATCGTGCTGTTTTTGTTCTATGAAGTGTGGAAGGCGAGGCAGCTAGAAAAATGCAACAAAAACTACTGTTTTGCACCTAGAAACAGGTATTCACATCTGATGTAAATAGTGAATACATTGTGAAGAAAAACATTTTTTTGCCCAAAAAGTTCAATACCACTGACGCAGCATTCTGGTTTTGCCAGGCTCAACTTTACATGGCTACCAGACATTTTACCACGATTTGTGGCTCATAACCCAAGTTTAGACTCGACCAGAACCCCAGCTTGGGTTGGGGTTCTTTGCCTGTGATCACACAGTGTGTGGTACAGGGACCCCGCTACCACATTGGCTGTAGCAACTAACAGATTTGTGCAAAAAAATTGTAAATTACATGGTTAACGCGACTCCAACTGGACATTACAACACCACTATAGCAACATGTGCCAATTTCATGAATGAAACAGTATATGCTATTAATCATCATTTTGCTTTGATTTGAACAGTCGTAACTGTGCTTGGATATTGAGAAATGTATTACTTATACCAAAAAGTACACAAAGTAGGTGGTTCGATTATTAATTAATACGATGATAAACAGTGTTTACTTTCAAAAGCAACCTTTGGGTGTTATAGTACCAGAGTGTGAGCTGCGATGACCATGCCCTGTGTCACCCTATCGAGTTATGCTCCAAATTAAATGCTCTGTGCTGATCGTCCACCAGGTTGAAAACGATGGTAAAGAGTAGTGTATCGGTGCTGTCTGCTCCACGTTTCAACAGCTGTTCTAGAGCTGACGGGTTGAATCGCCTGAATAATGAATAGGTGAACTCTTAACCATGACCCTCCTTGCATAGCCCACGTGGTTCCACTCTCGATTTGAGTGGTGACTGAGCTGTGGGGCAGAGAACGCGACCCCTAAATCTCGATTCGGCCTCCCATTTTCATTTCACTTCAAAATTCACACATTGGATATGTAAGCAACGAGCCGGGATAGTTCAACCATGTCCGTTTCTATTTTTACACCACCATTTATGAAAATGTACTTGTAATATTGTTGAGGCAGCATCAATAGGCTTGGTTTAATGTATTTTAAAGGCTAGGTGTGTGGTGCTGACTTGGGGTCGTATTAGTTTGTGACACAAGGAGGTGAGATGGGGCAATGTTCTCTGTCCTACGATACCTCTTCTTGTTTCTGATCAATGGATGAGTGGGCATGGGTTATAAATTTAGTCGTTTCTTTGGCATACTACAGAATCTATAGTGCATGCTCTCATTGCATCATTAATTCTACATGGGAGACTACTGTAGATTCCAATTTTGCAGAGGACTTTATTGAGGCCCAATGAAGTGGCAGTGTTTGGTGTGGCTTTGAAATCACTAAAAAGCACAGCGGCCCTGAGAAGGAATGACCTTCAGAAGCGGAGGGATTTATATTCTTTGATAATACATTTTGAGCCGTAGTTTGTTGATCACCAAACAAGTTCACCTGTTGAGTACACTAGAAATACAATACTCTTTTTTAGGTCTTATTAAATGAAATGCTGTCTTTATATTATACTACAACTGTCTAAGATAGCTGTGATACTGTTAGAATGCTGATGTCAAATTCCTCGCACAAAGTCGTGGTCAAAACAGGTAACTTATAAACGCATCCATTTTGTTGCCTGATTTGAGTGTAAAGCTGTGTATAATCCAGTCATGATGACCCGTCCTAAACGCACGTAAAAGGATAACATTAATATTCGGATTGGATCTCCTTTGCTCACATTGTTATTAAGTTTGCTGTAGCCCACCTACTTGAACAGATAGGTACAGGATGAGACCGTCTTGTCTACAGCAGTACACATTGCACCGAATGCCTTCAGTTGAGAGTGCACAAATATTTTAAAGCGGAAACCGTTCCCACTCCCAATGTCTCCACCACCCACGTCCGACACATGTCACTGCACACGTGTGACCCTGGCGCAAAACAACTTTTGTGTTGGCACAACCGGGACAAATATGGATTTCCAATTATGTCCTGACAAAAATCTAATAATAGTGTCAACCCTCTCCACATCGTGGAACTGGCCATGGCTATGTGGAGCTGTACGTGTGCGGGACGTGGACATTGGACTGTTTCTCTGCCGGAGTGCGCAATGTATTACCGTAAAGACTTTGTTTCACCTTGCCCTAGACACTGCCATCAAATTCCATTGTATTATCTCACTACGGCTAAAATTCTTCAGAACTCGTTAAATACCAATGAAGCGGAGGGGGTAATTTTCTAAACATGTTTTTGTACCCTTGCATGTCACACCGTGTGCCCTGTACTGTAATGTATATTGGAAGTCATTGAGGTAGTAGTTTACAGTCACCCATTGTTATTTTGAACATGCTATTTTTTCTGTTTTACATTTTTATTGTTATTTTTGAAATTAAAAATAAAAAAAACACATTTGTTCGGTTTTGTAATGTGAATGATCACAAGGTGGTGCACAGCACTTCCAGTGTGCATTAACAAAGCGACGTGATAACAAATAAACAGCTGGAAACAAAACCAGAGACTCCCTAAATCATTCAGTGTGTGTGTGTATACAATCACCGAGCCATGTGTGCCACTCTCGGAACCCTCCATTGAACTTCGTGGACAGTCACCAACAATACGTGACATTGTATGATGCCACAGCTGCCAGTGTCAACTGTCACGAAGACCCCAATGGTCGAAGTTGGAACCTGACGGCATGCCACAGGGTAAAGCCAGGTGGACAGACCGACTGTAGGATCCGCGATAACTGGTTTGGTGCTGATTTTGCCCTTCATGCCTCCCCCAGTCGCTCTCTGCCAGGCAGTCCTGGCGCAGTTTTTACTGGTAGGAACCTCCTGGTTACACCAGCCCACAGGGGATTATTGTGTCCGTCCGTCGTGCATCAATAAATGGGAGGGGTGGGGCTGGGTGGAGAGGGGAGGGTGGGAAGGGGCTGGGTGGGGAGGGTGGGGCTGGGTGGGGGGTGGGAGGGGCTGGGTGGGGGGTAGGAGGGGCTGGGTGGGGGGTGGGAGGGGAGGGGCTGGGTGGGGGGTGGGGCTGGGTGGGGAGGGGCTGTTCACCCCGTGGTGCCCTTATAAAACTCAATGTTTAACCTACTCACGCCGGCTTGTGCCCGCCCTCACAGTCGGCCATATTTGCGGAATACACCACGCCGCCGTTGACCCTGGCCATTGACCGAGCAACCCAACGTTCCTACCAGCTCCCTCCGTAGGACAATGTGCTTGGACGGCAGTGGGTGTCGTGATGAAAAACGTGCGGCAGGTGAATTTTGGAGATCTTCATGAACTGCATTCATGACTACACCCCCTCATGGTGACTTGAGACCGAACTTCCATTTCACCGATTCACTTCTGTCGTGTTCGCCTTGCCACTGGACAATCGCTTCCGTATCAATCGTCATTGACGACTACTGTGTTTCCCATTGCCATGAACTTCACTTATTGATTTCTCTGCACACGTTGAGCACTCGTCCTTCCAGACTGATTTGTCTCATCCACATTATTCAATTCGGGGCCGTCCATAAATGACGTCACGCACCTCGGGGGGGGGGGGGGGTCAGACATTTGTGACGATGTGTGAAGAGGGGGGGGGGGGGGTTTGAGAAATGTGACGTCACATCAAAATGCGCAACTTTGAATAAATATAGACAACACGTTCTACTTAATTAAATATACTTTTTAATAAATGTTTTCTCCTACAACATCAGAGTGCAGCGCCACATTAAATACGCACTACAATGACAATAGTTTAAAGCGATTTGAAGCATATTTTTTTGGGGGGGAGGGGCAGAGCTTTGTGACGTCATATTTGAGGGGGGGGTCTGACTTTTTGTGACGTCGTGTGACGAAGGGGGAGGAGGGGTCAAAAATCGTCCAAAATATCGTGACGTCATTTATGGACGGCCCCTTACCACACTGCAGGTTCAAAACACTTATATTTATTTCCTTGCACGGCTCGACTTTGGAACTCTTCCCATCGTATATTTTCTAAAGGTTGTATGACCTTGCTCAACGTCACGTGTTTCCAGTTGCTTTGTGTTTTGGGTCTTCGGGCCTGTCAACCAGACCCTGCAAGTCTTCTCTCCACGTCATCCGGTGAACGTCCCTTGGCTGTTTTAGAGCAGAGTTTTTGAGGTCGGCATTTGTTCTATTTAGCCATTGCAACCCAGACAGTACTTTACATCTATATACACTTTATGAATCAAATCGTGACAATTATTCTAATGGTAACTTTGTCCATCCAAGCTCAACTCTGCTTAACCTCTGAGAATGTACGAAGTTGGATGCATTCTGGCAAATTTTGTCAAAGACAAGTTTTTAAATATATATGTATTCTTTAGAAAGTTTACCCTCAGACCTGAAACTGATTATGATAAAAACGCTGACTCATTAACCTGAACTTACAGCACCTGGGGCTAATGTTAAAGGCCATATGGACCATAACAATTAGGAGAACTAAAGTGGCAAGCTTCCTGGCCATTGCCTGTGTATGTATCAAATTCATCTATCAACGTTGAAGAGGCGACTGCCACCCACCGACACATTATTACGAGTCACGAGCAGAGTGGCCCCAGCATAATTTTCACTCTTTTTCTCTTCTCTTTCTCTCGCCCCTCCCTCTGTAGTGCAGTGACTATAATGTAATGTCTTGCACATTCCATGCTTAAGAATCTCATTTCTATTCAACCCCCATTCATCTAATTTAGCACTTTCGGCCCATAGCTAAGAATATGAATGTAGTTGTACTTGTAATAAAATATTCTTATTACCTACAATGCTCTTTTGGCAGCACTACTTAGTGTGAACTATGAATGGCTTAATCCTATTCCTCAAATTCCTTATTTAATAACGTCCAAGTCGAACTGCTTTACTTTTTGTTGAATAATGCAGTGAATTCTGCTCTTGCTGAGTGGCTGTAAGGCTACTTGTAGTGATCCATGGCTTATCGAGACGGGAATGCTCCTGCGTTCTCTCTGAAGCAACAATCCTTCTGCTCTCGGAAAGCTTGGGTTTATCCATTCGGAGGTGATTGAAATAGTTTTCTCCTCTGCAGTCCGGTAACTATGGAGGGCTTGAGGAGGGGTCTCTATTTCATAAAGATTGATACGTCGCCTACTTCATTCTAAAAATATATATTTTTTAAACCTGTTTTAGTTTTAGGGCTGCTGCCGTGCTGTGTTGGTTTGGACGCTGGACTTGCAATTCGCGAATTGTCGTTAACCCGATCTAACCCAAAAAACATTTATTATTAATAATATTGATCGCGAAACGCGACGTGTTTAAATGTATTAATTCGAGCCCCACCCTCCCCTACCCACCCACCCACCGACCTTTGTCCGCCCGGCAATACGATTGGGTTGCATCACCGTTGAATCTCCAGGTTCCGTGTGGTGGGGTAAAGTGTGGATACTCTCGCCTCTTCCAAGATGTCGGGCCATTGTGGAAGAGTAGGCCAAATACCCTCTACAGGGGGCTGACTAGAGCCTCAAGTAGCGGTCTTTCTCGCAGCAGTGATGAAAGCAAGTAATGTGAGATTTGCACCTTTATACCTTTGTTGTTTAAATTACCTTATTTACAGACATAATGAAATGTATTGTATATAGTGTCTAAATATACAGCAGGAAATTATAGTCTGAGCAACGCCACATATTTATAATAAACATGCCCTTAGTATTCGATGTTTATTTTCAAGCAATTTAACATGATTTATTATGCAGTACGATTCAAAGCGATCCATTTAAAGATACCCCACTAAACACACTTTTATTGTACGGTAGTGAAAAAAAACTTTTAATTTAAATCCTCTACACATCTCGGACGAAACTCAATGCACTTGTGAAACATTTTAACATTCCTCTGGAAGACATGGTGCCATCGATCTCGCCGAATTCAACCACGCGTTGAGAAAGCAGTGAGAGGATAATTCGATATCTGCGGGATACATATCAACAAAAAACTCAGTCACTAACACGGCCTCAAAAGTATTTCATAGGCGACGTTTCAGAAAGTGACCCTACATCAGCATAACGAAGTACTGTAGAACCAAATAATGTATCCACAGTATTGATGGATCTCCCAGTTTGCGTATTTTGTAATGAAATGCTTAATCAAGGTACTGCGATAATGCAATTATAAAAAAAATAAACATTGTTTAGAACTAAAGTAGGCATTTTATACATAAACTAATAATTTAAAGCCCTTTTTTTTCTTGGTTCTTTCGGTAAAGTCACGTAGAAGGGAAGTAATAAAATAATAAAAATAAAACATAATAAAACATAATAAAATAAAATAATTATATTATTATATATTATTTTATTATGTTTTATTTTTATTATTTTATTACTTCCCTTCTACGTGACTTTACCGAAAGAACCAAGAAGATGGATCCCTGCAGTCACGAAAGCTTTAAATCGAAAATTAAAGCCCTTTGTCAATCCCCTGCTGGGCGAAGGCCTCCTAATCCGTGTTGGCCATTCGAGGTTGTTTGACCATACCAGTGCTGGTTGGTGAATGGGGAGGCCCAAGACTTGTTCATATCTCACTGACCTCTGATGTAAAGCCATGGCCAGGAATCAAACTCAGTTCGCTGGGTTCATAGCACAGTGGGATAATCATTGTTTAACTAGTATTCTAGTATTGTTGTCATTACTATTCACACTTTGTGTACTGGGTTATCTATTTTATCACTTGTGGCCACGTTCCACTGAACCGTCAGCACTACAAATAAGAGGACTGTTGGAAGCAGCGCTAAGCATGGGTCCCACGTGTTTTCTGGTTGTACCGCGTGTCGTTCAACGTGAGGTCCAATGTTACGCTCCACCTCAGAAACGGCGAAGAAGCTCTCAACACGTGGAGTGAAACGCCAGACATCGTGCCGAACGACGTGCGGTACAAATAAAAAAAACAAGCCAGAGTTATACAACATAACCGCGAAAAACTAAACAACAGCAGTTCAAAGCACATATCTGTGTGACCAACATGAACATTGCACAATTCCTTACGTGGCATGATGCGCAGCCGAACAAGCAGCACAGGTGTCAAAGCAACTGCATCCCTTACCTGTGGAGAGTGTGTGATATGGATACGCGTTTTGAATTGGCCAAGCCCTATAATACAGCGTGCTTGGAATCGCACCGAGAAATAGAAACACATGGATTCGTTCTTAATTTTTGGAGCTTTCGTGACTGCAGGAATTATTCTTTGTTTTTTTTCGGTAAAGTCACGTATAAAGATAAAATAATTAATTTAATTTATTATTTTATCTTTATACGTGACTTTAACGAAATAACCAAAGAAACACATGAATTCGTGAATACATGCAGTTTAAAGTCGTCATGTGGCTGTCGAGAACACTAAGTGGGCCTGGGCAGGATACGTCACTCGATTGGACGATGACCGATAGGCAACCAAAGCAGTAAACATGCCCAATAGGAGATCCGTCGTGAATATAAATAACCATATCAGCTCATGGGCAAGTGTATGGTGGATTCTTACGTTGCAGAACCATGACAGATGATGGCAGCTCTATGAGACCTCCATCTAGCAGTACATTGGTCATGGTGGATGACTATGAATACAGATGTTGGCTTACATATTCTTGGTTCTTTCGGTAAAGTCACGTAAAAGGGAAATAATAAAATAATAAAACAGAATAAAATTCTCACGACGTTTCGGCCACAACGCAAACAGCCATCCTCAGGTTAAGAACAGGTCTGTCGAAAAGACAGCGTCCTAAGGACTGTACCGAAAGAACCAAGAATATAAATCCCTGCAGTCACAAAAGCTTTAAATCGAAAAATGTTGGCTTAATTATAACATTGTATTTTTGCCGTGTGCAGGCCCTTATTGGACCATTCCTATCGTGTAACTATTGGGCTAGATATAACTTAATTTTGTTTCTTATCCAATGTTATCCTGATAGTGCTATCAGCATCATGTCATAAAACAAACCATTCACTCGAACTCGCACAGAGCAGCCTCACCTGCCCTGTAAATCCCTGTGCTGGAGAACCGTTCACACAAAAAATATCACGGAACTACTTTTGAAATATCTTCAAATGACCACGTATCCACACGGAGGGGCAGGACCTTTCCCACCTGGAATGTAGCAAATGTATTTTTTTTCCTTCAATGTTATCGATATTTTCGTTATAATCAGAGTGCTTTACAGTAAGTACTAATGAGGGTGGAATGGTGGCGCAGTGGTTTGATGCCCTGCACTATGAGCTCGGTTACCTAAGCGCGATTCCCAGCCAACATCAGCGGCGAGTGATACGGTATCTGAATCGTTACTTAGCGTCGCCCATCACCAACTTAAATTGGCCAGCATGGTGGAGCATGGTCAAACAACCCCCGTGGCCAACACAGCAAGGAAAGACTTTTATCCAGCTAAGAGCTAATGTTCCTCTGAATCATTGCACAGTAATGCGCATTCATCATTGCCCCCGTTCAATGTGCATCGACGCAAAACGAGTGTGAGTACGTTTTCATTTCAACGAGTGGCCCTTCGCGTTAAGAAGTGGCTCTTATGAAAATAAAATCTTCACAAGGGGAGCACACCACCCACACGTGAATCCAACTCGAGGCTTCATCACAGTGTCATAGGAAAATACACAACAAAATGAACATTTGTACATATATATCATTTACTTTCCGAATGTGATTTTTATACAGTAGAGTCTCACCGAATCTCAAGATTCTTATTTTTGTGGATGATCCTGCATTTGGATGGTTACCCACTTCCTTTCGTGAAGCATTTTGCGTGTGGGAAAGGAACGGAGATGTTCAGTTAAAACCCAAGAATCCAAATAGATAACGCATAGGGCTTTCAGGGACGGGCTCATAAACCCACTTAACGCACTGCAATACTCCTGTCCGCGTCAGAGGTCAGCAGGTTTAATCCATGGCCTCCAAAGTGGTGCAGGTCTAAAGTGCATCAAGGCCTGTAGGTTGTACAAAATCTGTTCTGGAGCAATCGCTATATTGTAATTTTCTATATTTTGTATTGATTTAAATTTCCCCAAACTGTTTTCCCGACTGTGCTCTCGGTCTCACGTCATCAAATGCATGACAGTCAAACCAATCGTTTACATTCTTAGAGCTGGAATTTTGCAAAAAAATATTAATCACAGAACCAAACACATTTCAGGTTGGGGTGTTTTTGTGCAGTCAATAGTGCCTGGGTTGAGACCATGAACTCGCTACACTTGGGAACCTGGTCTAACCAGAGGCAAGTGTCTGGATTCAAACCCAGGATTTCAGCAGCGCCAGCTCAGCACCCTGATTTCTGGGCCTGCCGGCCACCTCTCTATATTATAATTTGATAGGTCTACTGGACATTTGTGCAAAAAGAGCTTTATAGCTCATCGGATTCCTCCATGATAAAATAATATATTCTGATTCGGATTCTGTTTCATACTGTTTGCTTGGAGACTCCATGTAACAGTGTCAAATCATATATTCACAATACGCTTTTTGTGTTTAGTTTGTTGTCCTTCCCCCACACCTCATGATGAGCACGGTTGGCTATGTATGGTGCGAAAGAAGTCCAACATACAATACAAATATGTCCACGCAACTTAGCAATGCTTCTAGGAGTCGATCAGCTGTTAATTGCTGGAGTCTCTGCAATGTAATATTTCATGATACTACAATACATTTTCACGATGATTATAAAAAAAATAGTTTCCTCTAACCTTGTAATCATAAATTGTATCTTTTTTTAGCTTTTCTAGACCTCCATTGCAATGTAAATGTATGCTATTGCAGTTCCCTTAACATAAGTGAACTGCAGTTGTATATATTTACATTTTAATCGTAATATGTTGTGTTACAACTTTACAATGTATAAGGCTTATAAGAACATACATACTGTCAGTTACACTGGATTATTTTGATATGCACTTAGGGTTGGTATCAAAACAAACGCTAGCCCAGGGTTCAGACATATGCGGGAAACCCAGTGTTATGGCCTGATCCATGAGTATGAGAGTCCTATGTTTAAGACATAATGGAGATAGTAAAAGTGATGGTCCCATCATGTGTCACTGACAATGCCAAGGGATTATTAAATGAAGCAAATGCTTAGGGGTCAACAAGAAGCCCAAAGAGCCTAAGATTCCTGAAAAATAAGGGTGCATCAAATATCAGCTCATTAAAACCTTAATAAACATAACAAGCTCCTTAAACATTTCTAAAAAGCCATCCCATGTGTCTTCTCTATCTTGGGTGCATCTCACTTCTCTTATTTCACTACATCTCAAATGCTTGTGTATATATCACTTATCTCGGTGCATCTAGATCTCGTGTCTATATTGATTCTGTCATATTCATTGAAATGAACGTGGGAGGGGGGCAGCAGGGGGGAGTGTTCCCAAAATTAATTCTGCTTAGGCCTCCCAATGGGCTATCCCAGGGGTCGGCAACCAAAATAACAAGAAGAGCATTCGTCGTCTTGGTTCTTTCGATAAAGTCACGTAAAAGGGAAGTAATAAAATAATAAAAATAAAACATAATAAAATAAAATAATTCTCACGACGTTTCGGCCACAATGTCTGAATGACGCTGTCTCCCCGACAGACCTGGTCTTCACCTGAGGACGGCTGCTTGCGTTGTGGCCGAAACGTCGTGAGAATTATTTTAATTTATTATGTTTTATTTTTATTATTTTATTACTTCCCTTCTACGTGACTTTACCGAAAGAACCAAGACAATGAATCCCTGCAGTCACGAAAGCTTTAAATCGAAAAAGAAGAGCATTTTTTTCGAATTCGGTAACAAAAAAAAAAATCGATTTTTTTTTTTCAAGAGCCGCAATGCACGTGAATACGAGGCGGTGGTCCTCAATAAAGAACGGTCACGAAGTGGCCCTGAAAGAGCCGCGTGCTGCTCCAGAGCCGTAGGTTGCCGGCCCCTGTGCATTCACACGCCCGCCTACTTTTTAATTCCCACTCCCACTGCTACATCGACCCAAACCCTATCTGTCTCCCTAGTCGAGCACATGGTGCAACAGAGCAAGCAGCGAGAGAACGGTGCTGAGACACGAAGTGTTTTGGGAGACGATTTTAGTTTTTGAAGGTGAGTAGGCTAACGCGTGTGCCACTTTCCAGTTTGCAGTTCTGTCTTGTGAACCTCTTGATGGTATTCCCTTCACATGGTAAGACACATGGTCTGTAATTAAGCACACTTATTATAAGGTGTATATTGTCTCCGCTATGCATCGTTTAATTCACAGAGTAACCGAGCGTTGTTGTCTTTGCAATGTTGCTTAGCGGCGATATACTCGGTATGTGAGTCTGGGTTCACACGAGTAAACAGTGATCATTCGAGACGTACGCAAGACCCGTGCGGCCGATAATTATTGACCTTGCCACACGCACATCCTTTTGTTCACGACCAAGTGCACATGACAGGTAGCAGTTGGCAGCCTGTGTTGCGGAGATATTTCAACGGAGCACGTGTTGGGTTTTGTTAATGTTGTTTCGGTATTTGTTGTGCATTGTTATTTTACCTACGATTCTTTTTTTCTATCGTTTCCCATTTTCTAACCAGGCGATATTGGTGTTTTTGTGATGTCTTGTTTTGTAATGCACGTTGAGATGCCACGGCAATAGAGTGCCTGATAAATGCAAATCTTTAGTGTCACTCTTTGAGCCGTTGCAGTACATGTCTGGTGAATGTTCGTACCTGTGTTAAGCGCGTGGACTGGCGGTGTTAATCAAATGAATAGTCTTGTAGCACCTCAAAAAGTAATCCTGTCATATGATAGACATGTTGTTATTCCATTACCAAAGTTGGCAATAGTTGCTCAATCTAACACGTATGATTCACCATTATATTTTGCGCTACGTTACGTAAATAAATTACGTAGTTACTTAGTTTCTCACTTTCAATTGAGTTGACCTAGAATACACATTTCCAATTTGTTGTTGCGTTGCGTAACCTGGAATTGAATCAACGTGTCCCGGAACGCAGCGGAGTGCTCCAAACACCACCACGTCACTGCTCACCGTGGTCACTGTGGTCACATAGGGCACAGCAGCAACCACGGGTATCGTGAATGAGCAGAGGTGGAAAGTGACAAAGCAGAATTACCGTGAACACGAGGACGCTGTGATAGGGGTGGCATGGTAACGCATGCGATACAGTTCGTGGAGAACGGAGGTGGGCGGGCTGGCTGGCGGGGTGGAGTCGGATAGGGTGGAGCCACCAATACGTGCCGGTAGCTCACCTTTGTGGAATGGAATTATCATTATTAATAAGCATTGCCTAGAGACTGCGGTCCCTGCCTCACTGCAGCAGTTACCTGCGACCTGAGCCACACCAACGCCTCAACCACATCTGCGGCCCAAATTGCACGACTAGATATTGGAGGGGAGTATAGGAGCTCGCAAAAGGATATAAAGCTTGCAGTGATATTCATGTTGTTAATCTTCATTATCGGCCATGGCCAATCCACTGATAGATAAAGGCCTGCCAAAACTGCTAAAATCTCGTGTGATACTGCGATTTAGAAATTCACTTAGCACATTCACACGGGGTTATTTCATTGCCCTATCTGAGCTCTCAGACGTATTCCATTCCTTGGCTGCCACTATTCTTTATATTCAGTCATAATCCCTTCTATAACGTGTCCTGCCCAAGCCCAGTTACTTTTCTAGCAGATTGACTTATGTTCTCTTATGATGTGTTCCTATTTCTTTATCTCAATGCAATTCCAAGCATGCTTACCTCCAATTTGCGTAAAGTTTCCAATTCTTGTGCATATTAACTCCATTGAAATGTGTCAATTCACTCGTATTTATTGCAACATTCACAGCATTAAGATGCAATGAATGTGTTGCAATATGATGCCTTTAGCCTAGTTCAGCAAGTCCATAATTAGACCGTTCATGTGCTCTATAAATACAGGGTGTTTGAAAAAGATGGACCCGATTTGAAATCGCTATATGTCTGCAACCACGAACCGCCCATGAATGAAACTCTTACCACATTAAAGGGCGGGGCATAGAGAGGGCGGGGCATAGAGTTTCAAATGATTACCACGAGATGCCTCTCCCAGCGCACAAACAGCCCCTAGCCTCAGTCATTCGCAAGGTGGTGACCCCACAACACAAGGTGTTTTGCGTTCTGCAGTTCAGCAAGACTGAATCCGTAATTGCGGTGCAGCTTGCGTTTCAGCGGCGTTTTGGGCATTGATCCGCCAATGTCAAAGAGCATGGTGGCACATAAGACCGTGTTTTTGTGCCATCATTAGCGACTAATCTGGATGACCTCAAAAACAGAATCACGGCAGCGGTCACTTCACTGGAAGAAGACACTTTGAGAGGCGTTTGGGACGAATTCAACTATCGTCTCGATGTTGTCCGTACAGCAGGTGGAGGGCACATAGAGCATTTATAAAATGGTTAGTAAAACTTGATAACTTATTAAACCGTTTGTAACTTTTTGTGTAATTGTAACATGTTGCCATCAATCTTGATTTGAAGCTTTCGTGACTGCAGAAATCCATACTCTTTGGTTATTTCGTTATAGTCACGTAGTTAGAAATAAAATAAAATAAATAAATACAAATTTTTACCATCGTGAAATATACTGCTTTGAAATTGGGTCCGTCTTTTTGAAACACCCTGCAAATGTACTTGCACGCGTCAATACACTGCTAGACGAGGGTATCCCTACTCTGTGTCAGTCGTTGGGGATTATTTAACCATGTTTCAGCCAGCTATTGGATAGTACAGTACAACAATGGATGTGCTGCCCTGCCTTCTTCTGCCCACCACATAACCCCGCAGAAGCATATAACACATATTTTTCTTCTTGGTTCTTTCGGTAAAGTCACGTAGAGGGGAAATAATAAAATAAAATAAAAAAACATAATAAAATTATTTATTATGTTTTAATGAAACAATAAAAATAAAACATAATACAATTATTTTACAATGTTATCTTTTTATTATTTTATTATTACCCTTCTACGTGACTTTACCGAAAGAACCAAGAAGATGAATCCCTGCAGTCACGAAAACTTAAAATCGAAATATATTTTATGCACGCTATTCGCCCATCCAGGCTCAACCCCCACTTCGTCTCTGAGATTTGTTAGGATTTTGTGCATTCTGGGTTTTTTGGTCATAGGCAAAACAATTGTTAACTCTACCCTCATGCAATGAGAAATCTCACACTTCCCATATGCCTTCATGATGGAAATTGCACATATAATATTGTTAATGAAGTTGGTAACTTATTTTCCATTGATGCTGAGTGCATTGTCACAAGCATTAATTCTAGAGATGTGCAGATTAATCCGTTCTCATTATTATCCTTAAGCTCCCAGTACTTGCATTGACATGTGCCACGGTAGCGAGATGTTAATTACCTTGCCTGATATACAGGAGCACGTGGGTTCGAATCCCGACCTGATGCCTGTATATTTGGAGTTTGCATGCTTTCCCTGTGTTCGCGTGGATATTTCTCTGGGTCCTCTGGTTTTTCGCTCCACACTTAGAATCAACACGCGTTTAGAGTATTGGGCGGCTAGACATTTCCACGCGATAAGCCACTTCGTCAGGCTCTCATTTGTGGCGGAGTTGCTTCTGAAAAAAAGTCTATACAGCTCAGTGTGGCCTTACCTGTTAAAATATATTTTAAAATGTGTTTTAGAATGTATTTTTATTTATATTCGTGTGTTGTATGCAACAGCTTCCCATGGTCTCTATAGCCGTTTGCAGTGCTAAAATTCACTGAAATGTTTAGATAATGAATCAATTATTGAATCGAATCACGACTCCGAATCATAGATATTCATCAACCCATCACGGAGAGCAAATCACTTCACCCCAATTAATATGCAATGGAAAGCGTCCCAAAGTAGCTTACAAGATTAGCACTATACTTAGTTATGGCTAGGGTTCTCATGCGAAGGTCAGGGCTGTGATTGGTCCCTAAGGATAGGGCTAGGGCTATTGTTAGCTCTGATGTTATCGTTATGGTAACATGGCTAACATCCAGGGCCGTATTCTTAGTGGCTACTCACCTCTTTCTTTGCCTCTAACGCGGCTCAGCTCAGGCTTGAGCTGCTATCTTTCAAAGATGCAGAAGCAGTGCAGCCATGGCTTGGCTCAGACTCGGCTCATGGAAATCCTGAGCGTGGCAGGGACCATACTCAGAGCCGGCTCAAATTAAGCATGGCTCTGAGTCGGCTCGCTTGAGCCAAGCCTGAGCCATGCCATGACTAAGAATAAGTTCCCTATAAGTTACTATTAAAGGCAATTATTTGAGCAAGGCTGTGAACATACAATAACGATGTCCTTTATTGTTCAGGAAAGCCTAATTAAGTTTTGGAACTGCTTTTAATAGGGGACCTTGCAATGAGATGTTGGGATAATTTATTATTCAGTATGTTTGTATGTGATAGTAAATTGGAGTACTCTTTTAAAAAACCACGTATATGAAGGGAAACACTCAAAACTATACACAGTTGGATTGAATTTTTTTGTGTGTGTTTAGTTTGTTGTGCTTCCCACGCACTTCCGATTAGTATGGTTGCAAAAAGACATTCAACATACATACATACCTAACCAAGATTCACACACCTGCAATTGCAACTTGTGCTGATGGGCATCACAGGCAGGAATCGAACCTAGGTCACTGCGATTTATAAATCAGTGCACTAACCACAATACCATCAATCTTCCTATCCTTATTTTTTGTCAGTATTTTTTGCAAACACCCGCACATTCACCTATATCCACAAACAATGGCGGAGCCAGGATTTTCAGGTAGTGGGGGCAACAACCTCCAGCAATGAAAAATGATAGGAGTTATTAGTAAGTAAGTTCTTGTCTCTTGCTTTTTATTCGATGTGTGTGAGGCGATGGCGCAGCCATCGATCGAGGATTGAATTCGAACCGTGTGTGATCGGCATCGCGCTCGCTGAAAGTGAATGCCTTCAGGGAAGTCGTGTCCTGTAGACGCAACTGCGCACACTTCTGAGTCACTTGCTTTGCCGTTACTTATTGCCAATTATGGACTCAGACTACTGTATTGTCCTATCATCCCATAGAGTCCCTGGCACA